GCGACTGCGGGGAGAAGTACGGCTTCCAGATCGCCGACTGCGCCTACCGTGACCTGGAGGCCGTGCCACCGGGCTTCCCGGCCAACGTGACCACGCTGAGCCTGTCCGCCAACCGGCTGCCGAGCTTGCCAGAGGGGGCCTTCCGGGAGGTGCCCCTGCTGCAGTCGCTGTGGCTGGCGCACAATGAGATCCGGGCGGTGGCGGCCGGCGCTCTGGCCCCTCTGGGCCACCTCAAGAGCCTGGACCTCAGCCACAACCTCATCTCTGACTTTGCCTGGAGCGACCTACACAACCTCAGCGCCCTCCAGTTGCTCAAGATGGACAGCAATGAGCTGACCTTCATCCCCCGGGACGCCTTCCGCAGTCTCCGCGTCCTGCGCTCACTGCAGCTCAACCACAACCGCCTGCACACGCTGGCCGAGGGCACCTTCACCCCGCTCACCGCGCTGTCCCACCTGCAGATCAATGACAACCCGTTCGACTGCACCTGCAGCATCATGTGGTTCAAGACGTGGGCCCTGAGCACAGCCGTGTCCATCCCAGAGCAGGACAACATCACGTGCATGTCGCCCCGGGTGCTCAAGGGCACCCCGCTGAGCCGCCTGCTGCCACTGCCCTGCTCCGCACCTTCCGTGCAGCTCACCTACCAGCCCAGCCAGGACGGCGCCGAGCTGCGGCCCGGCTTCGTGCTGGCCCTCCACTGCGACGTGGATGGCCAGCCGGCACCCCAGCTTCACTGGCACATCCAGACGCCTGGCGGCACCGTGGAGATCGCCAGCCCCAACGTGGCCGCCGATGGGCGTTCCCCGCCGAGCGCCCCGGTGCCCGGCAGCCGGCCACGCTTCCAGGCCTTCGCCAACGGCAGCCTGCTCATCCCCGACTTTGGCAAGCTGGAGGAGGGCACCTACAGCTGCCTGGCCACCAACGAGCTGGGCAGCGCCGAGAGCTCCGTGAACGTGGCGCTGGCCACGCCCGGCGAGGGCGGCGAGGACGCGCTGGGGCGCAGGTTCCATGGCAAAGCAGCCGAGGGGAAGGGGTGCTACACGGTGGACAATGAGGTGCAGCCCTCAGGTCCGGAGGACAACGTGGTCATCATCTACCTCAGTCGCGCTGGGGGGCCCGAGGCTGCAGCAGCAGGGGAAGGGGTCTCCGGGCAGCAGTCCCCCGGACTGCTCCTGCTGGGTCAGAGCCTCCTCCTGGCCTTCCTCACCTCCTTCTAGCCTTCCCCCATGCCCCCTCCCTGGGCAGGGCTGGAGCTCCGCCAGGGCTTCCCTGACTCCGTCCCCCGCGCCCCCGCAGATGTCCCCTGGAAGTGGCACAGGGGGCCTGAGGGGGGCAACTCCCAAAGCCTGCATGGGGGACTCCACGTCTTCCTACCTCCCTTCTCATCTCTTCTGGAACACTCGCCACCCCAACTTCTAAACTCGCTGGAAGCTAGTGACTAGAACAGAATCCGATTCCGTACTCACCAACTTTGGTGCTAAATGCTGCTAACCACACTGCTCACGCTCCCCTAGCAGGGCGATGCCTTAACCACCCGGGGAAGCCTCAACGGTGGCATTCCAGGCACTGGGACCAACGAGCTGGCAAAGGCCAGGGCACGCTGTTGGGGCTGGGAGCTCGGCAGGGAGGTACCCTGAAGCAGACAGGGCGCAGGAGAAAGGAATAAGGTCTTGGGGCAGTGGCTGGCATGGCTCTGGGCTCTTGGTGTCCCTCTTGAGCTCTTGCTGCCTTTTGGCATTCTCTTATGATTTGGGGGCTCAGGAATCTGTGCTCTCATCTCAGACAGGGCTAGAGGATCCAGGATGGCCTTCCTCTTTTCCCGCCCTGTACCCCTCCACCCTGGACACCCGTCCTGCCTTTCTCTCCAAGTATGCGTCTGTAGCCTGTCCCTCCAGAGAGGCTAGCCATCCCAGGGGGTGACTGAGAAATAAACAGCATTTCTGATGCTCTCTTGTGTCTGCCTGGTGTTTTGTCTGAATCTAGGACCCCTCCCTACCACCCCGTTGGGAAGAGGATAGGGAGCTGGAGAGTCAGGATGCCCAGGCTGCCGGTCCACCAGTGACGGGACCTATGAGACGCACACAGACTGGATAGCAGGCAACACAAGAGGGGTGGGCCCGTGGGCCAGGGGCTGGGCTGAATGGCAGTTGTACCCTCTCTTCAGGACAAATAGGGGTGTGGCCCTGATAACCATTACAGAAGCTTCCCTAGGGTCCTGGTGGCCCTGAGCCATGCTTCCTGCCAGCAGTGGGAAAGGGAACAGGGAATGGGAATACCCGTACTGTGGCCCCTCTTCCAGGTCCTGCTCCTGGAAGAGATGGTAGGAAATGGAGAGGAAATGGGGAGGGGGGCTGATAAGGCAAGATGGAGAGGGAAGAGAGAGGAGGAGATGGGGGTACAGGGCAAGGGAGAGAGAAAGACACAGAGACAGAGAATAAGAGAGCGTCTTCAAGGAGGAAGCCGGAGGAGATGAACAAAGCTTTCCAGGAAGAGGAAATGGTATTCCTGGAGGAAAGTCTGCCCTTGGGTCTTCCCCACATAGCAGGTGGACCAGTGCGGGGGTTGGAGGGTGAGGTCTTGGCAGCAACCTGCGGGTCTCTTAGTGTGGGGAGCAAGTACATGGAGTCAGAACCTGGAGACTGATGCCCATACCTGTGCCCAGCCAGAGATTTGTCTCCGTCCCCACCCCTTTCCAGACTGAAGGGTGCCACCCACAGGGACAAGAACCGCTCCCTCCCACCCCCATCCATGGGACAGGTTCTGTGGCCTCCCATGCTCTGTTCTCAGGACTGTTGAGCCCACCAAAATGGAGGCAGGGAGGCCAAGGAGACTGGAGTTGCAGCTGTGAGCCTTGGAGGATGGCCAGCTCCCCTTCCCCCTCCTCCTTGTCCCCAGGCAGCACCTCCCCCAACCCCCTCAGCAGCTCCAGACTCTGGCTGAGCTGATGTCACCAGCAACACATGTCAAGAGTATCTGCGCATCTGGTGGAAAGAGCAGGATGGAGCCAAGTCCCCTGTGCTGGGCTGCCTTGGGCAAATCACTGTCCATCTCTGGACTTTGGTTTCCTAAGAAAACAAGGGATGGGTAGGATGCTTAAGGATCCCATCGACTCTGATTATCTAAGGCTGGATATCCAAACTCAGCTTGGACCCCTGACTTCTCTGGCTCCATTCAGAGCAGAGCAGGCTTGTCTTCTGGAAGTGGGACCTGAGTCAGAGGCAGCTGGGGAACTGCTGTGCTCTGAATGAATTAGCAACTCCCCTGCTTGAAAGTCATCCATGGCTCCCCCGGCCCTCAGGGTGAAGCCCAAGTTCCCCAGCGAGCCATGCATCACCCCTCTGCATGATTCTTCCGTGCCTCTCTTGGACCTGTTAACTAATTGTTCCTTCAGTCATCTGTGATGTGTTACCCTCCACACCTTTATGTATGTCATTCCTTTGGTCTGGACACCCTTCCCCTCTTTTTCACTTGGCTAAGTCGGCTCAAGCGCCACCTCCTCCAGAAAGCCTTCCCGGCTGCTGTACCCTCTACCTCCCAGTGTGGATGAGGTCCCCTCCTCTGGCTCACATAGCCCTGTGTGTCCAGGGTCACGGCCTTATCGTACTCTACTTTGTCTGCTTCCTTGTTAAGGGCAGAGACCCGGTCCGCCTTCTCATCCCTGTGACCCTGCCAGTCACCAACATGGGGCCAGGAAGATATTTTTCAATGGACTGCAGTAGGATCAGAGCCTGTCCTCTTTGCCATCCTCGTGGGCAGCCTCAAAGGTGGGTGTGAGCTCCCTGGCCCCACCCCTTGCTTTATGTGTGTCTGAGGCTGGAGTGGTGACGCAGGAGGAGGGGCGAGGAGAAAGGCTGATCTCCACTAATTGTGTAGACATCAAGGCCCCATGGACCCAGATCTGTGGGGTGGCCACGTTTTCCCCACCTGCTCCCAGGCCCACAGTGGAGCCCACACCTTCAGTCATGCATCCCCCACCCCCGCGAGTCCCCAGCAAGGGAAGGGACCCCCTCCCACAGCTGTCCTTCCCCATTACATGATTGGTCTATTCCCTTTAGGACAGCTCTGCCCTGTGCCTCCCTACTGCCTCCACACCTTTATTCAGAATGCTCCCCATTTTCCTGAAAGTTCCCCTCCTCAAGTCCTGCCCATTCTTGACAACCCGGAAAAAGTTCTACCTCCAAAGCCAAAGTCCACATAGCTCAGGGGTGACGCCATAGGGTCCCCAGTCCCTCTATCCCCCAAAGGGATTCGGCTATTGGTCCCCTTCTGCCCTGCACCGTGTGGCCAGCCCCCCATGGGACCAGAATACCCCACCCCCCCAAGCCCCATGAATGCAGTGATTTACCAGTAGTTGGGGCAGTTTCCCCCCACGTACCCCACCCCCCGAGGAGGACTGTTTCTCAGGGACAAGTTTATTACAGAGAGCACACTAACCTCTTTCATAATATCTAAAGGCACAGCAATAGCAAAAATACCAGGCTCTCAAGTGTGGCCAGCTCCGTGTGGGGCCTGGCTGGAGCTATGACGTTGCTGCCCGGCAGGAGCCCATGGCTTCCTCCTGGGCTGCCTGGCAGGAGGGACGAGCCCCCCACCCCCAGAGGAGAGGGGGAAGGTGGAGGAGAGAGGAGGCTCTGTGTCTAGTTCCGTGGTGGTGACTCCAAGGCTCAGGTGAGGCTGAGCCGGATCATGAGGCTGGACTGGCCTGACTCACCCATGATGGTTCCGTGAGCAGAGCTTGGTGGCAGAGCCAGCACGGAGAGGGGACTGGAGGTGGCCGCCCCAGTTCTCCTGACGCCCTAGACCAAGGGCCTAAACCTCAGATTACTTCCTCCAGGGCCCTTGCATGCTTCCCAAGACCAAGGGGCCCTACTAGAGTCCTCTTGAGGGTTAGGTCGGAGCTCGGGCTGGGGACAGACCTGCACCCGACCACAGCGCCCCCTGGCGTCTGGGGCTGGCAGCCGATGATGAGCCCAGGGCCTCCTCAGGGGAGCCACAGTGACAGAGAGAGGCCAGGGAGACTGGGAGGATGCTGGGGAAGCTGGGAGGGAGTGCGCTGGGAGCGGGGGAGCACTTCAGCCCTGACAAGGACACAGCGGCTTCCCCACTCTCAGGGCTGGGCTCCATTGACCTAGGCCCCTGACAGAGCCTTCTTCCGGAAGGCCTGCAGGGCAGGATTGTGCAGAAGCGTGTAGGCCAGCCCCCAGCGGGCCCTTCCTTGGCGGGCCCTGGGCCCTGCTCCCCTGGCCATGGCGTCCTTGGTCTGCAGCAGCTGCATCCCTGAGAGAGAGAGACTTTCTGTGAGTCACTCAGCAAACACCAGGCCACGCCCCGCGAGCAGTCTGAAAATCCCAGAGGTAGGGCTGGGGAGGCTGGGGAGCCTGGGGCCCCAGGGGCCTGCTCACTGAGCAGGAGGTGGAGAGACGTGTGGGCTGTAGAGGGGTGTCTGTGAAGGCGCAAGATGTCATCCTGCAGGTAGGGACAGAAGGAGGGGAGAGGGCTGGAGGAAAGGCTGGGACAGCCAGCTCAGTGCCCCCCTCCCTGTTGCACACTTTCCTGGCAGTGAGGAAGAGGTAAGACCTCTCATTCGGTGTGTGAGAAGGCGAGGTGTATGCTCACTTGTGGAATGGGGAGAGGGAGACAGAGTATGTATGTGTGTATTGTGGACAAAAATTACCCTGAGAAGGACCAGGAAACTTCTCACTTCCTTTCTCCCACAGGTGGTGGAAGGAGAGGGGAAGTAAGCATTTTCCTGGCCCTCACTCCACAGTAGGTTGGACAGGCATCCCATGTGCTGGGAAGAGGTGCACCTCGTCCCTCAGAGAAGAGGGTGGTCTACATTCCTGCCCTCCCCCGTGGGAAGGTGCACCTTCTTCTTCCTGCCCCTGTCTGAGGCCATCCTGGGGGGCCCGGGGAAAACGAGGCCGCTGGTTCTGCAGAAGCAGGGCACAGAAAGCCGTGGTAGCCGGGTGCGACTGGCTGGCCTCGATCTTCAGGAAGCCGCAGTATGTGTGATAGCCTGGATGGGGAAGGGGGGTGGAGGACAGCAGTGCTGGGGGGAGGAGGGCCTGCCCCACCAGCCGCTAACACATGCACAGGGGGTGCCTCCCGGCACCAGAGCAGGCGGCACGTGCAAGACACATGGGCCTGCTGCCCATGCCCCCACTGTGTGGTCACAGACGGGCCCTGGGGCACAGTCCCACTTGGCCAAGGTCAGGGCCAGACCCTCCCTCGCTCTTTGTACAGCCCAAGCCGTTGTGGTTCCTGGCCCCTGCCCAGCGACCTTACCGGGGTCGAGAGTGGCTGCCCGAGGTGGCAGCAGGCTGAGATCCATCTGGCCAAGGTGGACAGCATTGTAGACAGCAGAGAGAAGCACACGCCAGGCAGCCACCATGGCGCCCACCAGCATGTTGATGAGAAAGAGAAAGAAGGTGGCTGCATAGAGCACTCGCCTGGGGGTGAGGAGAGGAAAGGTTGAGGCTGGCCCCCTCCCCCTACCACATGCAGACCCACCTCCTCAAGTCAGGGTCAGACCTGGATGAGGACAGCTACTGTGTGTTTATCGACCACCTACCATTTGTCGAGTGCACCTTCTAAGCACCCTGCCCTGTGCTGGGCCTGCTCTCTCAAGCCAGCTTCTCTGAACCACCCTGGGATATGGGTGTGGTGCTCCTTCTATAGTAGGGAAACCAGGGCCCAGAGAGATCAGGTGGCTTAACTAAGGCCATCCAGCTAGTCAGCGGCAGAACTGGGGCTTATGGTCTGGATCTTTCTGTCTCCCACCTCCCTCCTCTAGGTTCCTTGTCCACTGACTCTGAATCCCTCCTGGCACTGAGGTCCTCCCACTGCCCTTCCACCTAATATGGAAATAATGTTTCTATTAACCTCCTTCCTGCAAAGGGGGAGGCACATGGTTTTGGGGGGCACAGATGATCCAGAGGAGAGCAGGACTGACCCCCAAAGCAAGAAAGGCTCATAGAGTATTTCTGGCACTGTGACAGGTGAAGAGAGAGATTCCGGAGTAAGCTGGGCCACTGTTCCCTTTCCGTTTGGGTAAGGCAAACTCTCCCACTCCCCACTGGGCTTCCCAAGAGAGAAAAGGGACAGATGACAGTGGAGGGAGAAGGACCCAAGAAAGACACCAAAGGAAGAGGCTGAAGTCCTAAGGGGACCACAAACCCAGGATCCTCACCTGTTAGTAAGCTCTGGGTATCCATGGTGAGTCTCCAGGAAGACCCAGTGGGCTGCCATTTTCTGTAGGACCACAGCCAGGGCCAAGGTCAGCCAGAAGGGCCTGCAGGTGGGGCGGGGAGGTTGTCACTATTAGTAGCTCTCTGGGAAGTGGTCCCAGAGCCCTCAGCTCCTTGCCTCTCTCACCACGAGGACTCCAGGGATCGGAGAAGCAAGAGGTTCCTGCCATGGAGCACAGGCATGAACACCAGGAAGGCAAGGGTCGTGGTCCCCAGGAAGAAGACGATCTGCTGCACCAAGAGTCCTGCAGTTTGGGAAGGCACAGAGGGATGGACATCAGGCTCCACAGGACCCAGCCGCCCCTGGCACTCAGGAACCCAAGGGCTTAGGGATGACGCAAACCTGGTAGAGATCCCTGCTCTGCCACTGCCTAGCTGTGCCAGCTGGAGCAAGTTACTCTACCTCCCTGAACTCCCATTCTTCCTCTACCTCAGAAGGCTTTTTGGGACAATCCAATATAGGATTTTTGGGATGATCCCCAATTCTGGGGCCAGGTTCTGTCTGCAGCAACTCTTTGAAAACAAAGTGCTCTGTAAATGTGATTTCCCCCCAGTTGCCCCTGAATCCTTGGAGATAAGATTGCATTTTAAATTAATGTTTGCCTTCCTACTGGCCAGAGCCTGGCACACAGTTATCACCAGAAAGCCGTCTATTGAAACAACTGGCTAGTTGTTTACACGATGTAATGTGTACAAAAGAGCTTAGGAGGTATAAAATCTACCAAGGTGAAGAATTACAACTTTTGGGCTGGTCATTCCTCTTCTCCTTTATCATTCTTCTCCTCCTCACCCAGGGAGTGAGGACTGAAGGAACCGTCAGGAAGGGGAAACTGACCCCAGCCCCCTCACATCTCAGAAGGTTTTATTCACTGTACCACCCCTGGGAAGACTCAGAAACTTGGAGGTAGGAGGGGTTGCGGAAATTAATCTAACCTAACTCCCTCAGGGCAGGACCCCCTTTGCAGCCCCAACAATGACCACAGATGTACCCCTGGTGAAAGAGATCTCGCTAACTTAAAGGCAGCCCGTTGGAGTATAACACTCTCTTCTATAAGCAGGAATACGCCTCCTTGAACTTTCCACCTTGCAACCCTGTGTGACACCCTCTGTGTCAATGGCTGGTGGCCCTTAGGGGCTATCCTCATTGGAGGGGTATCTTTCCCCAGGGGCTTCTGCACTACCCCTCCTCCCTGAACCTGAGCAAGCCTCCTGAAGGGAGAGAAGGCAAGGTGGGTGCCTCTTCTTACTCCCACCCCAGGGTTTGCCCCAGCACAGGTGGACACCAAGGGGCAGCCAAGACCTGCTGAGCGCTCTCTCCTCCCCAACTGGGGCCAGATTCTGGGGCCAGCTGAAGCCAGGTGGGGTGACAAGGGGGGCTCACCGAGGCAGGTAAAGGCAGTCTGGTAGGCACTGAAGCTCATCCAACAGCATACGGCCTGGCGGGAGAGGTGGGCACCCTGGGGTAGGGGGCCCAGCTCCAGGGCAGCCCCTCGGTACAGAGCTTGCAGGTTGGCCCTGGTTGGGGAATTGGGGGTGGGGTGGGGAGGAAGGCAGAGATCTCAAGGACCACACATACTCCCCAGGTTCCTCCTCTGGTGGAACCCCCTGTCTGCTTACAACATGTGGCCATGAACAGGAAAGCCAAGGGCTGTGGGAGCCCTGCAGAGGTTACTAACCTGGCCCGGGAAGTCAGGGAGGGCTTCCTGGAGGAGGTGGGATCTGTGTAGCATCTTAAGGGATGAATAAGAGGAAGTTTCAGAGCAAAGCAAGGGGCAAGGCCGAGATCAAGGGAGACAAGTTCAGGCAGAAGGCTCTGACCTGAGCCAAGTCAGAAAAGCAAGGACATAACAGTAGGAATGGAAAGGACTCGCAGATTGGCCACCAGAGCAGGAAGCAAGGTTCCAGGCATGCAGAGGCCTGGGGGCCTGAGTGCCAGCCAAAGAAGGACCAACCCTGTGGGAAGAGATCCCTGAGCAAAAACCCTGAGGCCTGCCCTGACATTGCTCCCCTTCCCACGCACCCTGCTCACAACTAGAACCTTCTCTCCCTCTTCAATTCCGACTCAGCTCTGTCTCGCTCCCCGCTAAAGGGCAAACGAGGCTGTTTGGCCTTCAGTGGCCCATCACAGCCCCTTCAACGCCCCAGCCCCGGCTGGGTCACCGCCACAGCCACCCTGGCATGTGGCAGCCTCACCCCTCGCTGCTGCTCCTTACACGGTCCCTCCCACCCATAGCACCCTCCCCCACCCTCAGCTCTTGCCTCTTCTTCCGATCCCAGGTGGAGGGCTGGCTTTCCAGGCTGCCTTCCCCATTGAATCAGTCCACCCAGGTAGTCCCTTCTCAGAGGTCCAAGTCCACACCCCCGCCCTGGTCAGCCGAGCCCTGTATCACTCCCACCAGACTGGAAGGCCCCACCTTCTCCACCCACCACAGGGCCACTGTGGGCGGGGGGCCGGGTAGGGGGGGCATAGGGACAACCTGGGCCCGCAGTGACTCTCCCTCTGTCCAGCCCCAGGCCCGGCCCCCCCCAGGCCTCCTGGCTCCGGGCCCACGCACCTCTCCCCCACACCTGCACGGGGCATCAGACCCTGCCACTGACCTGTGTGTCACCAGCGAGCGGATCAGCATGAGGGAGGTGAGCGAGAAGGACAGGACCAATGCCGAGATGTAGCAAACTGGAGGGGGAGAGGGAGCGAAGTGGGAGGTGGGAGCCCCTGAACTAGCCCCCAGGGTGGGTGCCCAGGTGGGAGTTACCCCTGCCACCTCCCCCTGCCTGCCTCGTTCTCGTGTAACTCAGCCATCTCAACCCTCCCCTCCTGCCCAGTGACATGGTGGCCGGGACAGGGAGAGGACAACTCAGATCTGCAGACCTGGTCTCCTCCCTTGTCTTGCTGCTCCCATGGCTGTGTGATCCCCAGAGAGACACCATCCAACCTGGCAACCGCCTCTGTCTCCTCGCCTTCCTGGCCATATGGCCTCAGGGGGCCCCTTGGTCTTCCAGCCTTGACTTGCTCACGTGGGCTGCCCATCCCCCAGCATGACATGGGCCATAAAACCCCATGGGCTGTGAGTGCACATCAGTGTGCCCTGTGTCCATCAGAAGGAGGGAGGTGACTGCTGCTACCCATCTCCTCTGGTTGGGCCCCTCCTGCCCAACTCCCCCCTGCCCCCATCCCCCCAGCCATACCCACACTTAAGAATTTGCTCACAATGTACAGGGAGTTGTGAGCAGAAAGGCCCAGCGGGGATTTGAGGCTTCAGCTCGCCTGCCTGCCCTCCATCCACACCCCGCCTCAGTCCATTTGCTTACAACAATCTCATCAAAGAAGAGGCACTAGGCCCACCAGGAAGCCGAGGCTCAGCGAGAGAGCCTGACCCTCCAGTCACACTGCTGGCAAGTGAAGGGCTGAGACCTGTGACTATTTCCAAACCGACCCAGACTCAGCCCCGGGTGCCTGGCCCCTGATCTCATCGGTCATGCCAGGGGAGTACTGCCAGGGCCGGCGTCCCATGCAGAGACTCAGGAGTGGGTGCAAACCCACATGGAGTCCCACGTAGCCTCAGTGCCAGAGAGGGATCTCGCACTGGCAGCACAGCAGGGACACCGGGAGCTGTGAAAACCCCTCGCGGCCCCGGGGGCATCCTAGGCCAATTCAATCAGATTTTCTGGGTGTAGAACCCAGTCCCTGGCTTTTGTAGTTTTGTGTGCGGCCTTAGGGTTAAAGGCCATTGTTGTGGGGGAGGGGGGCTTTCCCAAGGCAGAGCCTTCATGATGCATTTCAACCAGCAATTGACTGAAATCAACCAACCCACCCGCAGGTCTGGAGCGCCTGCTACAGTGGTTCTCAGAGCTAGGCTCGCATGGGGATCCCCAGGCCGGCTTGTTCCATCATAGGGACGGGGTTGGCATTTCTGGAGTCCAGCGCAGCTCGAGCCTCCGGATTTTAAAGAAGTTACCAGGCCCTTCTCAGGTGCAGCCAGGGTCGAGAACAATGCTACAGAAGAGAGCACTGGACGTGTGCAGCTCTGCTCAGCCCCGCCTGCCCTTTGGGAGCCCCCCCTCAGTGCCGGGAGGAGGTTGTTCTGGTCTTTTCCTGCCAGGCAAGGAGCCCGCCTGCTGACCCTGCGCAGGTGAGTGAAGGGGTTAACACAGCGTGGAGGGAGAGCAAGCCCCCTCGGGCCAGCTAGGCTTTTGATCTTTATCCATCTACCTCCTGCTCCTCTCTCCCTAATTGGTTCCAAACTTGGGTCTCTCCAAACCCTGGTACCCATAAAATCTTCCTGCTCTTTGCTTCCTCTGGAACCCTGCTTGGTAGACAGATCTGCCTTCCCACAGGGGATGGAGGGCCTCAGGGACAAGGCTGCCTTTGCAACTTCGACACCTGTTTTGCGGTAGAGAGACTGAAGTCCAGAGAAGTGAGTGACTTGCCCAAGGTCACACAGCTTATAAGTGATGGAGCAGGAGTTTTCATCTAGTTCTAACCTAGTCTGCTCTCTATGAGTGATGCCAGGTTTGTGGTCCAGGTGCCCAGCGGGCAGCCTCAAACAGGCTCTCAGAGTTCAGAAGACATTACTCCTTAAGCCAAGGACTCACCAAGGGCCCCTGGGCCCAGATGTAATCTCAGTTCCAACCTTGGTTTGCTGAGCAGCTTTGGGTATAGCTCTAACCCTCCTGGGCCTCAGTTTTCCTCATCTGTGGACTAGGAGAGTAAACACTGCTCTGTTTGGCCCCCCCAAAACGGGGAAGATCCAAAGCGGAGGCCTTGAGGCTTGGAAACCTGCCTGGGGTGGGGGATAAAAGCAAAGCCCAGCCTCCCAGACAGGTCCTTTCCTGCCTCTAAGCCTCCATTTCCTGTTCTGGAAGATGAGGACTGATGAGGCAGACCTAACAGGGCTGGCTGCTGTGAGCAGGGAGCCAACCCTGAATTCGGGCTAAGGTGGACCATGTGGGCTCCTGCCTGTGGTCCGTCTTGTGGCCAACTTCAAGAATCTCCCGGGGGCTCCCAAGTCAGCAGAGGCCGCCGGCCCCAGGATTCCTGACCACCAGGCTTTGTCTGAAGGTGGTAGAGAGAGACCCAGCAAGGTGGTCAGGAGGCCGTGTTCCTCCCTTTGCTCCACTCTTCCCTGGTGAATGACCCCAAGGCAATCCTTCCCCATGTGTCAGGTGTGGACACTTCTCAGCCTCTTCCACAGGGGCTATTGGGAGGGCCTGGGAGGTGGTGTAGGCTTAGCCAGACTAAGGGCTGAAAGAGACATCAGACCCCAGAAGGGAAGGCTGGTATGGTCCCCTGGCCAGGGGGGCAGAGGGCTCATTGTCAAGGGAGGGAAGGAGAATGTACAGGGATTGGGGAAGAGGAAGCATCACCACACTCAACCCCACCCACCGGCCATGGCAATTAGCTCAGAATCTGGCCCAGTGTCCCACATCACTGCCTCCTTCCTCCTCTCCCCTCAGCTCTCGAGGCCTTGCCTGTCTCCCAGCTGGGAGAGCGGAGCAAAGACACTGGAGCTGGGGGTGGGAGACACCCCATGAGCTGCGGGGCTGCTCAGATGAATCCTTCAGGTCTCAGAGACCCGGAACCAGAAGCCACAACCACCCCAGTTTGGAAGGGAGGCAGCTGAGACCCAGAGAGAAAGGAAGGAATCTGCCCGTGTCCAGGACGCATGTCCCTGGAAGGCTGGTTCCCACTGGGCACCATCCAGGACTCCTGGGAGGCCTCACCTTCCAGAGCCCACAGGTGATGCTTCACGAGCCCCACCACCTCCTGCCTGTCCTCTGAGAGCACGAGCCCGAAGCCGGCCAGTAGGTAGGAGACGTCCGTGTTGATACCCGCCCTCACCTTCTGGATGGTGGGTACCACGCCCACCAGCAGCAGCAGGACCACCTGGAAGATCCCCACAAGGAAGGTGCTAGGGCCTGGGTGTGCTCACACAGGGCCCACATCCCAGATGAAGCATTTCCTCAGCTCACAGGGAAACTTCAGGGCAGAAACTCCGGCCCCACACAGGCCACACCCCCATGCCCTGCACCCATCAGTGTTCTTGTCGCCGAAGCTGTGTCTCACCAGCACGTTGCCTAACAGTCCTAAGAGACCACAGCTGTGCTTCCAAACGGCACAGCTCTCTGCCTACCTATCAGTCCTGTCTTTATTGAAGCTGCGGAATATAACATTTCCAATTTCCCACGTTGGCAAAAGCCAAGTATCCTATAGACAATCTCACGCATTGAAGCTAGATAGACCTGGGCTCATATCTTGGCTACCTTGAGACCTTAGCTGGAGGAACTTGGCTGAGTCAAAGTCACCTCTCTGAGCCTCAGTTTCCCCTATGTGCAAAGTGGAGAAAAATCACACCCACCTCCCAGGATTTGGGCTTTCCGGTTTTCTGGGGGAGGCAATGGAGGGGAGGATTTCTCAAACACGTATTATTTACAAACTACCCAAATCTGCCTAAATCTTCCCAAACTGCTCAGAGAGGAAAGCAATTCTATTTCTTCTATTTCACAGCTGAGCTAATGGGTTCAGAGATGTTGAGTAACTTGCCCAGGGTCACACAGGAGGTAAATAACGGAGCAAGGGTTTAGACCCAGGCTTGGCAGTTGGGGGCAGGGGTTCAGAGACAAATGGCACGACAGGGGCAGGACCTACCTGGTAGATGGCTGTCCCTGTCAAGGTGGCTGAAAGCACCAGCTTCAGAGGGAGTCGGAATCCTGCAGTCCCCAGAAGGAGGGATGTGGTAAGCCCCAGCCTCCCCTGCCCCCAGGCCCGGGGGCCTCTTCCCTCCCAAAGGGCCCAGGTAAAGGGCTAGGTCTTGCAGGACCCCAGACCACCAAAGCCAATCCAGGGGCTTCCCTTTGTCCCCAGCTGGGGCTGTTCCTCCAGACCAGGTTCTGGGGGACGGGAGCTGGACTTCTGTGGCAGCTGTTCCGTGCAAGGCATGGGTGAGGTCACCTGCCATTCTTAACCTCAGCTCCCCACTCCGTACCTCGCTGTGGAGTATAGATGTAGTTTCTGTAACAGATCCAGGCCCAGGATCGGAAGCCCTGCTTGGAGGTGTGGGAGCTGCAGAAAGACAGAGGCAGCCAGGCGCCCTCAGGAGAAACCCCAGCCCTGAGCCCAAGCCCCAGTTTGGTTTCTTCCTCACTGTGCCCCACCTGCTCCCCAAACTAGCCTGCCAGCCAGCCCTGCTCACTGGCCCAGAGGGGGTGCCTGGGACCTCACCTGCTTCGCAGCTTCTTCCGGCAAAGGAGGGCCCTCAGATATTCCTCACAGTAGCGGCTTGGCAGCCCCTGTGGAGACAGACGGACGAGCAGATGAGACCTGCATGGAACCATCCAGGGGACCCTGGCTCAGGGTGCCACAGTGGGCACATGGGGCTTGAGAAAAACCTCTTGGCTGTGGCGGGGTGCCGAGAAGGGCCAGCCTGTGGGGATGAGGTCCATCCCTCCCCCCCCCACAAAAGCTGCCCTTTCTCCTCCACAACTAGGAGACAAACCATTCTCTTAAGAACACTCCGCACTGAGCGGTTTGTCCTAAAGGCTATCTCCAACTCTCTCCTGCTTTACTCTGTCCCATCTGTTCACTGCTTCCCCCCTGGCCTCTGCTGGCTGAGACTGGGGCAAAAGGGAGCCTAGGTCCCATGCACACATCCCCAAGCAGGACACAGGACGGGGTCATTCCAGGCCACACACCCCAGGCCTCACCTGCTACTCCGGGGAGATCACAAGCGCTACAGGATTTGTCTAAACCACATCACAAGGGCGATGGGATTTGTCTAAACCACCTTCCATGGGGCATCTGGGTGGCTCAGTCATTAAGCATCTGTCTTCAGCTTAGGTCATGATCCCAGCGTCCTGGGATCGAGCCCCGCATCTGGCTGCTTGCTCAGCAGGGAGTCTGCTTCTCCCTCTCCCACTCCCCCTGCTTGTGTTCCCTCTCTCCCTGTCTCTCTGTCAAATAAATAAATAAAATCTAAAAAACAAACAAAAAAACCCCAAACACACATTCCAGGCCATTAGCCGCCTGCCAAGTGCAGAGGGCTGTGGTAAGATGGGGTGAGCCCCTGCCCCCATCGGTTGGAGAACACAAGTTTATCACTTGTTGTCATGGCAACCCAACACACACACACACACACACACACACACACACGCACACACCCCACCCAGGGTAGGTGTGGGTCAGCTCAAAGCTTGACTGGGACCTCTGAGGCTTAAACCTCTCTGCTACAGGGCTGAAGAGGAATTTATCTCCCAGGACTTCTCAGGAGGACAGGCATGCCTGGAGGGAGAGGTGAGGCATCGAAGATCCCTGGAGGAGGAGGGAGAGGGCCCCAGGGGGGAGAGATGTGTTGGGTACCCTGGGTACCCTAGGGGAGACGCCCCTCTTCTGAGGCAGCAGTAAAAGTAAGGGGACATCGGGCTCCCCCGGAGGAGTATGACCGTCAGGAGGGCAGCTGCGACTGTCCTTGAGGTCCCTACTGCTCCCCAACCCAGAGTTGGTGGGCCCGTGGAGGACCCAGGGCGGCCGCTGGAGGACCTGAGCTGGCAGGCCTCTCTCCCCCCATCTCCTTCCCTCCTCGGGGTCCCCTTTGACTTCCGTGCCAGCCCCTCTCCCGAGCTCCAGACCTGCGGTCTAGCTGCCCACCCCAACCCCACGCCCGTGCGTCAGTCCCCATGCACCTGCCCACACCCAGCGCTCATCCCTCAGCAGCTGGACCCCCAGTGGCTCGCTGCTCTGTCCTCTCTGCCACCCTGCGAGCTTGCCTTCACCTTTCCCGACTGAAGAGTGACCGAGCCCCTTGGCATCTGTGTCCTTAGCCTCTCCTGAGGCTGTCCCCCTCCCTTTGAGAGTCTCTGTGGGGTGGTTTTCTTCTTCTTTCTCTCCTACTGAGAAGAGCACTTGACCCTGTCTCCGCTCACACCCGTGGCCTTGGGCGGGGCCCCGGCTGCACTTCTCACGGGGCACAGTGACCAGTGACCTGACCATCTGTTGCTGCCCGCATCTCCCCAGCCCCTGGGAGCCCCTGGGGGTCAAACACAGGTCTGCAGCTCTGAGTTCACAGTCCCTTGCTCAGGGCCTGACATTTGGTGGGCACTTAGAAGGCTTCTTAGTAAAATCGCCTTATCTTGTAAGAATTCTCTCTCACTACGATTTACCCACCGATCCATCTAAAACTTCTGAAGTAGCTGCTGAGTATCACCATGCACAAAGACATGCCCAGTGCTACAAATTACACGTGCACAAAACAGACACAATCCGTCTCTGCGCCTTTACTGCCCCTCCCTACACCTGCAAGGCCTTCTCCTTATTCTCTTCCTGCTCCATATCCTCCCTGTCCCTCAGGACCCCTACTGAAGTCTACCTCCTCCAGGAAGCACCCCAACCTGCCTCAGTTCTCCCTGCCCACCCCTTTATCTGACTTTATCCAACCATACCCAGCCTAGAACTGATTTATAATGCGACTGTACCCCGGGAGCTTCCTGGAGCTCGTGGGCATCTGCAGAGCTCCTTGGAGGCACAAGTCTCCTGGCCTATCTCATTTCTCCGACTGGAGCCTCTGTGTTTCGGAAGCAGAGCTCAGACTGCCCTGTCCTCTGATCCATGCCTCCTCTGTTGACTCCCCACTGTGCCTGCTGCTGGGTGCCCCCAGGGATCCCGGGTGCCAGCCAAGGGCCTGGTCCAAAGTTCGGTCCAGGAGGGAGGTCTAACCCATCACTTGGTGACTCAGCAAATATTTTCTGAGCACCTGGGCCCACGCACAGGGACCCAATAGCAGTGCAGGGGTTCAGGGTGCTCTGAGTGCTAATAGGAGCCCAGCCTAGCCCTGCCCTTTTACCTCAGAACCTGCTCCTGCCATGTTCCGGAAACTTCTCACCAGCTGCACCGGGTACCAAAGGCTCAGGAATCCAAGGCCCAGAAGCAGAGGCAAGGAAGCCAGCAGGGTGTAGTACTTGTAGATCTAGACAGACAGACAGAGCCCCCAGACATACCTACCTTCTACCTTCCTCCCCCAACAGAAGACCAGGATCCATTTCCCTTTCCACTTCACTCCCACTCAGCTGATGGAGGCCTTCTCATGCCCGCCCCCACCCGAGTTACTCAGCACAAACACTCCCACTCCCCTTCTGAGGCCCTGTGGACGTGCTCCCCCCTCTCCCGGGCTCCTGGACTCCCACAGCCCTTAGAGGAACTTATGTAATTCCCTCCTCCCTGTCCCAGGGGGCTGCCGTGGGACCTGAGACCAGGGATACCCATTTGCTATGTTCCTTTGTTCCTGGGCTTTGGGCACAGGCCCCTGAAAACTAGACAAAGGCCTAATTTTGACTGGGTACAGTTGCGACCTGGGCGTCAGGGAAGTCCAAGCCTTACCCCCCGGGCACTGAGTCCTTCCTAGGGCTGGGCCCCTTCTGCTTTCACTCAGTTATTTGTTAACTCAATCCGTTTTTACTGATAGCTCAGTATGTGCCCAGTTCTGGGTGGTGAAAAAGACCAACCCAGTCCCCCCTCTCAAGAAAACCAACCAATCCTCATCTCTACCCTGGAGGATAGGTGTTATCCACTCCATTTACAGGGAGGGAAACTGAGTCTCAGAATGGTGACACGGTTTCCTCAAAGCACTTAGCATCACCTGGCATCATTCGCTTTATTTATTTATTTTTTGTATCTGCCCTTCTAGAATGGCCACTCTTGGGACGCTAGGGACTTCATCTGTCCTGTCCACAGCTATATTCCACTGCTGGGATGTGTCCCTGGTACAGAATATGCATTTCAAATATGTTTGTGGAAGGAAGGGAGGGAGGGAGGGAGAAGATGGTTCAAACTCAGGTTGTCTGGCCTGAGGCCTGTGCCTCCACCCTTCAGGCGCTCCCAGCCAGCAGCCAGTGAGGTTCTAGAATTCTCTTTTCAGCCCTCCAAGACCATCCCCCAACTCAGGGCTCGCCTTCCTCCATCTCCTCCCTCCCACTCCGGCCTGGCCAAAGGAAGGCTGGGGAATCAACAATGGAGGGATTTCAGGCTCCCTCTTCCTCTCCCTCGGCTCTTTCCCCCTCCCCGCCCCCTCCCAGGCTGGAAGCTCCTGCAGGCAGTCCCAAGGGACAATCCCTTGTCCCCTGCTCTTGCCACAGAGGGCCTGTGTTCACAGGAGTGGAATTCGGTGCACAGAAGGCAGCGGAGAAGTCTAGCATGTAAGTAAGAGGACACGAGCCGCACTGGTTTACGCAGGTCCTTCCTGCCCCTCTGCCTCAGGCTGTCACGAGTCAGTGGTTACCTTGGGTGTCTGAGGACACTGTGCCCTCTGCCAGATCTGGACCCCGAAGTGAGCCCAGGACAGCACGCCGCCGAGCAGGTGTGCGGCTCCACGCCCGACTGTGGCACAGGCGGCCAGAGGGTAGTAGAGGGCAGGGTAATAGAGCAGGGCGAGGATCTTCCAAGGTCCTGGAAGGCAAGATGGGCCGAGGGAGACACATGGTGGAGAGGCAGGTCCCTTCCCGCCTCCCCCTTCTGAGCCCTGCATTCAAATTCAGGTTCTGACAGTCACCAGCATTGGCGATCTCCAGCAAGTTACCTCTTGGAGTCTCCGTTTCTCCATCTGTAAAATGGAAATAATAGCGGTCTATTACCCAAGACAAAACGAGAAAGTAGATGTACAGTGCTTAGCACAGAGCTTAGTCAGTTGTCAACAGACTAAGCTACGACTTCCTTATTGTTCCTTCCCCTGACCCCCAGCAGCCTCCAGCGTGAAACGGGCTGCCATCCTCACTGAGCAGTCACTGTGAGCACTGGCTGATCACAAGAGGTCATGTTGAGGACAGTGGCCCCTCTTGGTGGCAGCTGTCCTTGTGCGGTCACTTCCTCAAGTCCAGCCCAATTGTCCATAACCCCTCCTACTTCCTTCCCATCCTCCTTCATTCTCGGAGGCCTGCGCTGTTCTGGGCAGGGGTTGGCACAAGAACAGAGAAGGTAGCGAGGGCAGTAGTGACCCAGCAGCTGGGACGAACGAAGGGCCGGTTTCGTGCACTGCGGCTGGGAGGTCCACACGATAGCATCTTTTCGGCAGTGTCTCAAGTTGGGGATGGGAGCTCCCTGACTCACTACAGAAGAGCCCGCCCCATGCTCCGGACGCCCACTCAGCCCATCCCACCAATCCAGCCCCAGAGCCTCAGCTGTGCTGGGTACCTTGGCTGGGGGGTGAAGCCAAGGTCAGGAAGGGCAGTGGGTCCTCCGCAGGGAACAGCAAACACAAGGAGCTGAAGAGGACCACAAAGACAGCCGCAGGCACTGGCCAGGTCGTGTCCCCCGCCAGGAAATCCACGGGGCTGGTGCAGAGACAGGGACAGGACAGGAGGAAGCCGCTTGGGCCCTGCACCCCCATTCCCCCCATGCCACGTTCCATACATCAGGGGTGTAGAGATGGAAACTTTCCAGATGGAAACTGGAGGCCCCATCATCCATTTATTCCTCATGTATCAGTGGGGGGCCTCCTGTGCACCAAGCTCTGGGCCCTATGGCCAAGTGACTCAAGAACTACCCCGTCCCCCACCCCCATACACAGGCACACAGCGGGAACAAGCCCGAGCGGCTCCCTCCGCCCACCCTGGAAGCTCCAGGAAACAGCTGCCTCCACACAAGTCAGTCTGTCTGGGCTGGCAAACCTTCAGAGAGCTCGGAGAGTCACAACATCCTTAGGCAACAGCCCCCACCCTGGCCTGGGTGTGGCCTGGGGCAGAGGGCACACAGCGGGCACAGCTGTCCCAGGCATCAGCCCTCTGGGCTCAGGGCAAGCCACTCAGACCCTCTGCTTCTGTCCAGCTTGACCTCATGCCCTGAGGCCAACTGCCTCCTTCTCCACCCTAGGCAAGGCAAGCTCTTACCTGGGCCCACCAGTGACAGATACCCAGGTGAGTTCTCCACCAGACCATCATGGCGGGACTCACCTTGGTGTGTGGCCTGGACCTGAGGGTCAAGTCTGTCTACACTGGAGCTCCAACTGCCACCTCCTTCAACCCTTTGGTCTCTCCCATATGAGCCTGCCTAGTTCCACCTCAAGGTCATCCCTGTCCCAGGCTCTGGGGTTGTAGGACAGAAGGAGACAGGGAAAGAAAGTCCCAGCCATGGGACTGGGCTGGGATCTGTCCCTCATAATCTACCATTAAGCATCAGGGTCTGGGTGAGGCCCTCAAGGGAAACAAGGGTCAAGATGGCATGGGATGGCCATCGCCTGTCCAGACCATGGGCCACCGCAGGAAATGCATCCAGGAGTCAGGCCCTGTTGGGCTGGTGTCTCCTTGGGTCTAGGACGGGAGCAGGTGGGCCTGAGTGGGGCCCTCCCCTTCCCTCTGGGGCTCCTGCCTAAACCTGGAGGTCCAGGTCAGTGTAGTAAGAGACCCTCAGTGCTGAAAGCAGCACTGAGGCCCGAGCAGACTTCTAGGTACCTAACAAACCCCCACTGCCCCAGAGTGGCCCTATCAGCTGGGCCACCCAAGTGGGGGTGCCCAGGCCTTGGCACCAACTGGAACTGTCCAGATCTGCCGAGCCCGCAGCAGGGCCGGGGCCGACGCACCCTCGTGAGCACAGCCAGCAGCAGCAGCACAAGGATCTGAAAGGAGAGCACAGAGCAGGCCATGGGTGCCTTCCCTGAGGGGCTGAGACTGAAGGCTTGGCCTCCACGCCCAGGACACCCCTACCCCCCAGGGCACAATCACGGGGCATATTGGGGACTGGCCAAGAGAACGGTGACAAAGAGAGATTGGACTTTGGCCCGCATCCTGGTTTGGGTCCCCACCCTGGGAGAACTCCCAGAGCTGGGGCTCCTGGGGTCCCCCTTGGCCAGCCCCAGCAGGGAACACAAGCCCCCTCCAACCCCTGCCCCACCGCCCCACCCAGTCTGGCAATGGGTGGTGAACAGGTTGGCCTCGGGGTAGACTCACCGACAGCACAGCCAGGCAGGCGTGGAGAAGCCCCAACAGCACGCTGGGGTGGCAGGCAGGCACCACTCTGCAGAGCAAGGCAAGGCTGGGTCAGGCCTGTATTGGGACACCCCGAGTGTGCAGCCCCTTTGGGCTTCCAGGCTGTTGACCCTGGGGCTCCGCCCACCACCTCCCTCAGCCTCTGATCTCTCCTCTGCAAGCTGGCCCAGCTCAGCCTTCTCAGGCTCATTCCAGGGTTGCAGGCCCCTCATGTTGCACCAGCCCCAGGCCAAGCTCTGAGGTTACAGGGTTGAAGGAGAAAGGGCCTCCCAGAGGAAGGCACGGGAGAAACAGAGCAGGCCAGCTCAACCCCAACCTGCGGCCCTCTTCTTTCTCACCCATTCTTCCCGGCCTTCAAGGCCACTTCATCCCCCGTCCTCCGGGAAGCCTCTGACTGCTTCAGGCCTCCCAGACCTCTCCTTCTCAGAATTGTGGCTGAGCCTCTCATCTGGGTGGAGCAATCAAGTGTTTGGCCCTAGGCTTTGCCTTGTGGCATTTGATTTGAGTTTAAAAGATGGTTGGCATCTTTTGAGGCAAAGAAGCGGGAAGGGAGCTCCGTGTAGAAGGAGGAACATGAGGACAGGAAGCGACAGGGAGCAGATGGCACGGGGAGGCCAGGCAAGGCTTTCCGTTTGCCTGCAGTCTCTAGGGTTGTGGGCAGGCCGGGAGCAGGTCACAGCTGGCATGGGAGGCACTAGGGAGCCATGGAGGATGTTGGAGCAGGCCGGTGTTCTGAATTTGGGGAGATTTCTGTGGCCCGCTTTGAATAATAACAACAGCAGTAACTAGCACTCACTAAGAATTGACTATGTGCTCTTTGTTCCATGTGTTAACTCGGGTACTACTGGCCAGGTCAGTGTTACTATTATCCCCCTTGGGTAGACAAGGAGACCAAAGCTCAGAGAGGCTAAGTATCTTGCCCAAGTCACACAGGTAGGAAAATAGCAGAGTAAGGATTCAAACTGAGGTCCTCTGGCTGCAGCACCCACATCTGACCGGGAGGGGAGAGGTAAGAAGTATGGGAGGAAGTTTTAAGTTGAACCATATGAAAGCCTCATTTCTACACGTCAAAAACAGTTGAAAATCTGCATTGTCAAGGAGTTGAGCATCAGCAGCTACTTGGGAAGGGAGACAACAGGCTGCCCCTCAGAGATGTGTAGGAGGAAGAAGGTATATGCCTGAGATGGAAGAGCAGGGGGGCGGGGGGTTTCCAGAATGATCGCAGACTTCTAGGCCTTATTCCAAGAGGAGAAGTGAGGACAGAATCACAGGCAGCCCAGGAAGCGAGGCTTGGTCTCAGACACTCAGAGACAGAGGCCGGACTGCAGAGTGGTGAGGACACTGAGATAAGGAGCAAGACAGCTGTTTCCAGAAGTCAGTCTCTGAGAGGGAGCCTACAAAGGGCCCTCAGAGGGGAAGGCAGAGCCCTGATACCCATGCCCCTACCCCTCACCCCACAGCAGAAGGGCCTGCAGATTGCCCTGGTGTTGGCCTCCTGCCAGGAGGGCAGGCCAGGAGGGAAGCCTCCAATTCCCCAGGCAGCCCTTTGAAGTGGAAGGGAGGTGAGTGTCATCCTGGACAGCTGCCACAGGCATTCATGTCCCCAGGCTCTGGCTGAGAAACTTAGTATTAGTGGTAAGTGGATAACATGTGGGCAGATATCAGACTGGGTACATGACCCGGTCGGGGGTGGGGGAGCTCCAGGGGGCTCCAGGAGTAGGAAAGGGCTGGCTGGGCTGCCACGGATCAGTCCCGTGCCCACAGAAGACCCCGGAGGACACATCCCACCCCGTCAGACTCATTCCCCTCCCAATCTTTTCAACTAGGACTTCCCACCAGGAGGGCACCTGGACAAGTGATACTTGTCCAGGAGACTGAGTCCAGCCAGCCACTGTCACCAGCGCCTACCAGCCCGAACCCCAGCCTGCGGGGGCACCCTGAGGTACAGAGGGGGCCCACCATCAGCTCCTCAAAGCCTCGGTGCACCATCTCCCTGGGTGTCTGACTCACTCAGGGAGAAGGGGGCCCAAGTTCATCTCCTTGGGATTCCCCTTGAGCTTCCATTTTTGGGAGTGGAGCTTGGGGGACAAGCAGCACCACTGGGGTTATAGTAAGTAGAGTCAAAAACAAACCTCATTCTTCCCTGAGGTGGGAGAAGGCGGCTACAGGTCCCAGACACCTCACACATCAGAGCCAGTGCTCCCCATCACCAAGGCCCTGCTAGGTACCCCACTTCATTCTGAGGCCAGAGCTGAAGAGCCTGGCCCCAGCCAATGCCCAGGCCCTGAGGCTCGCAAGGACACAGCGGCAGCTTGTCTTACCCCAGATCAGGAGCCATATCCTCTTGGCTTCTGAGGCCCCTCCCCATTCTGCTGCTTCTCCCACTCCAAAAATGTGCAGCAGAGACAAGAGGAGCCCGAATGCTGTCCAGATCAGCCAGGGACGGGCGAAGGAAACACCCCTGCTGACACAGAGCTACTGACCAGGTGGCCAGCGCCCCGAGTCCCCCCAGCCTGAGGTCTAGATGAGGCCTCTGTCCCTGCCGGGTGACTCAAGACGGGCCAGGCCGCAGCCCCAGCCCTCTGGGAGGCACGCCAGCCTTTCTCCTTCTCTAGTTTCGGTTGTTGATGGAAAGCAGGTGTGTGCACATCTGGCTCAGCCAACACCCCGCCCCCCAGCCTCACCTTTCAAGTTCCCCAAACCCTCAGAGAGAGCAGGGAGGTGGGGGATGGGGCGAGGGCCAGGAACAATAAGGGGAGAACTGGGCTCTGGGGCCCACACAGACCAGGCATCTTTGGCAGCCTGTGGGGCCCAGGGAGGCCCAGCCCCTCTGCCAGGGGGCTGCCCAGACTAAACAAAGATAGGGCCTGGCAAAGGGAGCCGCATGTCCTCTGGCCACACAGGACTGGGCTGAGGCTGCCTCCCTCCCCTGGGCTCGCCTGAGCACTCCTGCTAAAGAGAAAGGCTCTCCTGATTTTCATGGAGACTCAGAGCCCGCCAAAGGCATGGAGGCGCCATCTTTCCTCAAGGACCCTCCCCCCAGGCTTTCTTCCTCAGGCCTCCCCCTGCCCTGGGTTGGGCAGAGAGCCTGACAGCTGGCAAACAAGGCACCCCGAATGGTCACCCTAGGGACAAGCAACCCCTTGAAGGCAGGCGGAGCTTCCCTCATCCACTCAGCGGGCACTCTGCCTCCCAGCCATGCGCCAAAGCCGCCCCAAACCGGCTAGATCTGAATTTACAAGGAGTAGGCCCCGGGAGGTTGTATTGTTAACAAACCACACAGGTGCTTTTTAAGTGACAGCCTGGCCCAGGACCTTGCCCAGGGGGCTTCCCCGTCCCCCACATCAGAAACCTCTGCCATACCCCACCCTGCAGGCAGACAGACTTACCCCTCTGGCTGGAGCTCCTGGTCCCCCTGGGGCTCGTCAATGTACCAGTTGGAGTAGTCATCTGTGACCCCGGAGGAGGTCTGGTTCCCCACGGCCTGGGACGACATTCTCTGGCCTTTCTCCTCTGCACCCCCGTCCCCTGGACAAGTGGGGAAAAACCACTACAGATGTGAAAAGAGGCTTAGGGAGAAAAAAAAAAGAAAGAAAGAAACCAAACAAAGAACCGTTTCTCTTTAATCCTGAAGGTTACTTTCTTGCTTTTAGCTCTCTGGGAAAAGCCCGTCTGGGAGAGAGGGCTTGGGCCGGCTAGCACGGGAAAAGGGGAAGGGCTTCTCGAGTCCCTTCCCGTCCCTTCCCGCCCCGTCTTGCCTGCTCCTGCAGGAGATAGTTATCCCCTTGGGACGAGTGTGCCCCTCGGGGTCCTTTGGCTCTTGCTGGAACGTCTGACTGTTCGTCTGACCACCAGCCTCTGTGCAAAGGACCATTTTCAAAGAAAGTTTGTCCAATCCAAGCTGCCGGCATAGACACCCCCCTTCCTTTCCCCTCCCCAAAGCCACCCAAACGACCCATAGACACACACTCAAGGAAGGGCAGGGAGGAAGGAGCTACAGAGATGAAAGGGTGGGCGGGCAGCAGGCGGGCCCAACCCAGCTGGACCCTCCCAGCTGGGATCCAGGTCCCTCTTGCCCTCAGGGGTCAGCCCCATCCCCCTCTTTGTTTGGCTCCCCGTTCAGACCACCTCCCCACCCCCACCCCCTAGCCTTAGCCTGCCCCTTTCTGGCTCCTTTGGCCCTCAGTGATGGAATCATATCATGGTCCTGACAAAGTGTCCCTCCCAGGTAGGAGGCCCCAGCTCCACCCGTAGCTGGAGCCCCCAAGAGGTGGGTCCAGGAGGGTCCCAGGCAGCTGGCCCAGCTCACATACCTGCCTCCTGCGCCTCCCCAAAGCACCTACACCTCCAGCCTCTGCATCTGCAGGGTCCTACGCACACACAGTCCAGTATGCAGCAACCCAAGGAGACAGCTGGGGCTGGACCAGGGGTGGAGGTGGGGAGGGGGAGCCTTTCCACTCCTTCCCCTGGGTTTCCATGAAGGAGGCAACATGTGTCTCACTGGTAAAACCTTCTAGTTTCTCCAACTTGATTTCAAAAGGAGATAACTCACCCTCTTGAGGTAGAGATTAGGCCTTTAAACACAAACCAGACCCGCGGGTAAGCAAGAAGAACCCCTCCTGCCTTGGGCTCCTCCCACGCTGTGGGGTGAGGGTGAGGAAGGCTGGGCCCAGGCAGAAGCCAGGGCTTCCTCCTTCCTCTCGATCCCCCCCGCCCAAACCCCAGCCCAAGAAGCTGTACCTCTGGCTGGCTCCCCTCCCCCAACTGGCCCCAGAAGGGAGACAAGATGCAGATAAAGGCAGTGAACTGTTCTCAGGCCCTTGTCCCTGGGTGGGGGTCAGGCCCCCTAAACAAGTCCCTGTCTTTCCAGTTGCCCTGGGAGGGCCCTGGGCCCTGACCCTCTCCAGCTAAGGCACTCATTCCACAAGTTTTTGGTTTTTTTTTTTTTTCTAAAGGCATTCATCCATTTATTCTTCTAGCATAAGTTCATTGAACAACTACTAAGTGCAGGCATTATTCTGGACCCTGGGATGTGAAAGTTGACATTTCCGGGGGGACACAGAAAAGTAGGTAAATAACCACCAGTCTGGGCCTTCCTGTCTACAAAGGGAAGGCACAGAATGCCTGAGGTATACCACAGGAAGCTGAATTTGGTCCGAAAAAAATGGGGGATTCCCGAAAAAATAAACCTGATTCACGGAGATCTGAGAACAAGGAAAAGTCAGATGTGTAGAGGGTGTGGGGAAAGGGAAGCGTGTTCCTGGAAGAGGGAACAGCCCCCTGAGGCTGTGTGGGCTCAGCAGAGACAGAGCTTGAAATCCTAAAATCTTCCCATTCAGACCTAGTAGCCAGGCCCATGAAGCCTTCCAGGACTAGGGCCTGAGTGCTCTATTGGCCTTGGCTGCTCCCCTCTCCTTCCCCAGTGACCCTCTTCCAGGAAGTGGGCTCAGACACCCCTCCCCCATCCCACAGAGTTGTCCGAGGCAGACTCAGAACTGAGCCTAAACTTTCTGTGATGCAATGCAGGAGCCCACACTGCCCATCTGTTCCCGGGAACTTGGGGTGAATCCAGCCTCCAAAGCCTGGCTCTGAGGACCTGGGGGCAGAACGCTGCCTCTTCTCTTCCTCCTCCCTTATTCCGCCAGCACACATACAGTACAGGCTCTCAGGCAACGAGGACTTTACAAGTTGGGTTTGGCCCAGCCATTGTTCATTCTAGTGACTGTCACTCCTCCACAGACCTGCACTAGGCAGGCCAGTATGTAGCCTCTGCTCCAACTCAGAGCCCCGCATTCCCTTCTCTGCTCAGGAGTTTTGGACCCTTAGCCTAGAGGGCAACTAACTTCTATCTGCTTAGATCCGCCTGGTGGTAACTCCGGCAGTTGGAGTCTGGTCTGTGACAGGGAGCTCTCTCCCTCTATACAAGGCAGAGATGGTCATCGCTGGGTAACTCTGTCAGAAGCTGCTTCCTTGCCTGGAGGAAGCCTCCCCCATGTGGTTTGTTCATTCATTCCCTCATGCATCCATTCATGCAACAAAGGTTCATCACATCCCGATGGCACCCCAGGGAAGGTTCTACAAGCTGAGAATGTCGCAATAAGCAAGAGAGCGACTCTTAACAGGCACTGGGGCATAGTGGGGAGACAAAGGTGTCAGAGCGATAAGAGGGAAAATAGAGACAGACAGACAGGAGGTGGCTGCTTTAGGCTGGATGGTCAGGGAAGGCCCTTCAGAAGAGGTGACATTTGAGCAGAGACCTGGAGGAAGAGAGGGGTACCTAGCTGGGCACTGAGGAAAGACATTCAGGCTGCCTGAAGGAGCCTCCCTCCTCCTCAGAGGCTGCAGCCAGCCTGGCAGGGAGGGGCGCAGCCGAGCCCAGACTCAGTCCCAGACCCAGTCCCAGACCCAGTCCCTTCCCCACGCACATCTCCCCAACCAAACCCCGCTCCGCGCGGAAAGGGACTTCCAGTGGGTACCTTCCAGCAGCTTCCCCTGAGGGATACCCCAGTGCCCAAGATATCACCTCCCTCCTCACTGGGGAGATGCAGAGGCTGCCTTCAGGGAGGCCCTAACCAGATGTGAGGAAACTGTGAGCTTTGTTCTTCTGCTGGGGGGTGGGCACAGTGGACAGAAGGTAGCACCTTGATGGGGCCCCTTCTGGCGATGGGCAGGAGCTGGCCCAGGAAGAAGGAACACCGTTCCTATAAGGCAATGGGAAGGCCCCTGTTGCAGACGCAGCCTTACCTAGGTTTGAATCCTGGCGCTGGCTGTGTGACTGTGAGCGATTCCCTAGGCCTCTTGGGGTCTCAACCCCTCCTCTGTCCCAGTAGGGGTGGGGCTTCCAGCCTGGAGATTCTTTGGCTGTGGGCTCTGCTCTCTCTCCTGCTCTCTCTCGAGGCCCCTACTCCCTGCCCTCAATGACTTCATGGCCCAAGAATGCGGAGCCAGCACACCAGGCACTAGCTTTAGCAAGAAGGTCAAAGCCACAGAGGCTGTTACTACCCAGGTGTCCCCTTTTGTCTTCTACTCACCCCCCCTCCCCAATCCACGCTGGTAGGGGCAGGGAGGGAGGCAAGCCTGGTCAGAGATCCATGATCCACGGATATTGGGTGGCTGTATGGCTCAGGCTGGGAGGGGGACCCCACTTCTTGACCCCAAAACACCTCCTCAGCTTGGAGCTGGAATGGCTCTGTGCTTGCATCTGTGAAATGGGAGGGTTGGTGCCAAGGTGTCAGGAAAGGTGTCATCTGGCCAGACGGCAGGTAGGCCGGGAAACATACTGGCAAGAGAAGAATGGAAATGAGTTGCTCCTGAAGAATTTCTCTGCCTGGCAGCAGAGTTCACAACCGACCCATGGGAGTTGGCTTTAAAGGTTGACTCAGGCCCAGAAGAGTCAGAGACTGGTACCTGCCATCAGGGAAGGAGGGGCTGGAGAGTGGAGGGACTTCAGAGACAGACTCCAGAAGCTCCCAGCAGAGAGGTGGTAGGGGGAATAAGGAGATGTCTCAGACAGTCTTGGAGGCTTCCTGAAGGAGGTGTCCTGGAGCAGAACCCCAAAGTCAGACAGGGTCAGCAATGGTAGCAAGAATGAGGTGCCTTAGGAGAGCTAAGAAGAGGAGTCTGGAAGGCAAGAAGTTGGGGCAGGGGTCCGGGCCACCTAGCTGTGGCCTGCGTGAGCCCACATGGGTACATTCAGAAGAAGAGGCTGGTGCCAATACCTGAGGGGCAGGCCAGGACACAAGGGATACAGATTGGGGGGTGCCTAAGCCCTGCTCACTGTAAGACAGGGGTCACAAAAAGCTTCTGGGTTCTGAGAAGACAAGGGCCATCTGCTACCTGGGCCTGGCACCAAGCTGCTCTGCTCTGACCCTAGGGCCAGGAGCTGGCCCATAAAGTCCTTGGGACTGGGCTTCCTTCCTCCCCATTGTTATACCCCAATAATGGGTCCGTGATTAAAGGAGCGAGACTGATACAAAGCGAAGGTCAAACAAAGCTTTATTTCATGCCAAGCATCAAGAATTTAACCGAACGTGCGGGGCCGCACCTCTTACAAGAGAGGGCGACCCTTTTCTGTTTCACAGTCTAGCTTTTAAGGGCAAAGGCCATGCGGTCGGGCCTGGCCACGCACAGGCGGCCAATGAGATTGTAACACACACAGGAAATTCCACAGTGATGCTAGGTGACCAATTGAGTTACAATTTACCCTAGTAGACATTTGAACCAGCCTATTACACCTTGATTGGGATTGGCGCCCAAAGGGCGGGGCCCATACTCCTTGGTAACCAGGGAGACAGTATGCATCCCCCCACTGATCGGATGCCTCCACCTGGCCTGACCCACCTTTGTATCTGGGCTTTGTTACCTGAAGCTGGTTTCCGGGACTTGTCTCCAAGTAAATCCCCTGGGGGAAGGGGAGCAGGGACAGTTTCTAAATAGGTCCTTACATTCCCCCCTTTTCTTTGGAGACTAGTCAAATCTTTGACTTTTTAGCCAGTTCTATACCCTCCTTTTAACGGCTGCTAGAAACAGTAAGTTAAGCCCCCCCCTTTTTAATTAGCAATTGCTTATA